AAGAAAATAGAACAAGCAGTTACATGCTTTAAAAATAATAAAAATTATAAACATAATATTATATAAGCTCTATACTATAGTGATATTCCTCTCCGAAATTGATGTCACAAAAGGCCCTTAGGGCATTTATGACCTACTTTTTTTCTTTAGTCATTACTTATATAAACAAAATCAATGTTTCACATAAATTACAAAAATAAACGAACCCAAAAATATCGTTTTACAGTACAAGAGTAGTACATTACGCACAGTAGGTACAGTATTTTCAAAATCTGCAAATGAATTTCATTTATGAAACTGCTTACCCGATTATTTTATTGCTGCAATATTGAGAAACTCGTGATCGTTCGCGACGCGTTCGTAGATGGATAGCTACGAGTGCTACGGAGCTATGCAAGCGGGCGTATAGCGTAGCCGTTGCGTCCCTACTGCCGCCGCAGAGGGCTGTCCCCCGCCTGCTACGGATTTCTCGTACCCTTACTACGAACCTCCTTATGTGAAAATGTACAACACAAATTATATTCGAAACATATCTCTAAAGCTTTTATTTCGCCTGTTTGATGCCTAGACCGAATGGATTTTTCTAGTAATACTTTCTTAAGATTTTATTCATAAATCTTATAGCAGCTTAAAAAAATATATAAATGCTTAAAAACAAGCTTTTATTTATATTGCAATGTATAATGCATGTATGTTCAAAAAGTGTGGGTCTCACTATTCCCGTTGAGCCAAAACAGCCAACCGAACTGCGTAAAATGATATTGGAAATACCGTCACAAAATTCGAATAATTTTGGTTGCCATTAAAAATACAATTTGTAAAATATACCTACTTAAATAATTTTATTTTTACTTTATAAAAGTCTACAATCGATGCGTTGTTTTTCTGTATGGTGTCGATTTTTATTATTGTCGACCTTAAATAAATGGGAATATTGAGACATTCCGTAGTAGTGCATTAGTCTTAATTAATCATTTTTCATTTAGTAATTCAATGAGTATAGTGAGACTGATTTAAAAAAAACGTGCAGTCTTAGTAATGTCATTGCAATGGCTTATGAGAATTGTGAGACCCATCGTTCAAAAAGACAAATCTTGCAACTACATTTTAAATCAGTTATTCTCAACCGATCGAGATGAAAGTATACACGTTTAGTTTGGATAACAATGCAATTTTAGCTTTGCTAGAACGACCCACATTTGTTGTGCACTTTCATGATATGGATATCAAATGAAAGGGTTTATTGGGAAAAATACGAATACCTAAACTAACGTCAGCGTACAATGGTAATTTAATTAAAGCTCACTTTTAAAATTATAATAACATCTAAACTTATTTATGATACATATTTCATAATGGGCTCGAGTCTAACTTCTCTCAAGTTTATATTGAATTGGATATCATATCAGTCTCTTCTGTTTATTCTTTGTAGAACAAGATAAAGACATACTACTGCAAAAAAATGTTCCCCATTTCGAGATTCATATCAGATTTGGGCCAATTTCTAGCCTCAATTTTATATTTTTTAACATTATTGGTACAAAATTACCTCTAGGAAACTGTCTTTTTATTTATTTATTAAATCTTTAATTTAATGCCTTTACATTGCATATGGCGGACTTAACGCCAGCATGGCATTCTGTACCAGTCAACCGGAAAGAACGTGCAGAGTCAATAAAACGGCAGACAATCATAGAATAACTAAATAGCTTTTTACTCATCTATGTGATCAATAAGAAAAAGAGTACGGTATCCTACATGGATTACGAGAAAACATTGGGAGTGGTAATAATGGCTTTGTAACTTTTAGGTACTTTACCTACTATGAATACCTACCGTGGCGAAATTCGTACCGAGGCTTCATAGTCCATAGTCATTGTAATTCACAACCATCACAACAGATGTTTATTTTGACAAGTGAGAATCATCTGTTCGAATGGGGGAATTAAAAAAACGTATGCACATTTGATGATGTATGTGAAGAGTATTTCTTTTTCTTCTGGTAATTCATGAGGAGGCCACTTATTTTAAAGGTAAATTTATTTATTATTGTTATTATTAAAAAGCACAAAATTAAGTAATTAAAAATGGAAATAACACTTTTTGGTCGGATATTCGGAAAATAGCATCTTTTGATCAGGAATGATAATAAATAGCATCAACAAATAAACTTTTTGAAGTTGTTTTTTTTTTTAATTGGAAGTTACATTTATGCCAAAATATATAAACTAACTTGGCTTTGACTACTTGTCATTACTTTTTAACATAAAAAAAAACATGCCAATTTGATAGTCTGCCATAATGCATTTTTTTTATCTTAAAAAGTAATGACAATGAATCAATGCCAAGTTGTTTTATATATTTGGCATAAATGTAGCTTCCAATCAAAAAAAAACTTCAAAAAATTTGGAAAAAAAATATTGTGTTGAACAAAAACTTTTAAATGAGTTAAAAATAGCACCGTTTGAATAGAACCGCGAATTTAAGTTCTAATTTGAAGGGGAAATAATCAATTCTTCTTGGATCTTAGAATACTAGTAGAATTCACGAAAAAAACTATAACTCAGTAAATGCGGAAATAGCCCCCTTTGAACAGACGCTCCTCAAGTGTTAGTTACTTTCGTAGTGAAACTTTTAATTATATGTTCTATGCAACGATGTCATTTGCATTATTTATTCGGTTGATGAAGGTGAAGGTGAGATCATAAGATTTTGTTAGTTTTTTTTTGACGCAGGCAAAACCATTTTTTTCAGACGACGGCGCCTTTAAGAGGCAAACCGGCGAGTGGACCTCACACCTGGCTCCCACAAGCCTTACGGGCTCCCGCAGTGGCTGCCCACTGAGGACCCCGTAACTCTTAAAAGCGCTCTACGGCATAATATCCACTAAAAACCCTGCGAATACCCTCTAAACTGCTAAGTGCGAAACCGTGGGATCCCTGTGTAGGGATTCTGCCGCGTCAAGCTCTTATGTTACTGTGATACAAATCCAATTTGTGAAGATACATCAATGCAATAGAAAATTGTCACTCCTGCAGCCCCCCTGAATTTCGCGGCCCTGCAATGCCACTCTGTAAGACATACTTACTTTTTCACCGCCTAATCCGCCGGTGTGATTTTAAATTTATTTGAAATTCGTATTCAAATTTTGAATCACACCACGTGGTTTCAGAGCTGAAAATTAATTTATTCTTACAGAATAACACTGCTGAGCGCTTGCCGGTCCCTACAATATGTCAAGGCAACAGACGGGACTCGACCCCGCACTAGGTACTACCGCGGCCCTATATCAAAAAAATGCTAACACTCACACCAATAAGCCTAGTCCCAAGGAAAACACTGTCAGGTTTGTGTCAAAAGAATACTAGGGTAACTGAAAGAATACATTAAGTATATTGATATTGAAATATAAACATCCATTCCCCGTAGCATGAGCATCTCAATTTCATTATATCGCGTTTTTTATAGCGTCTATGTGCAAAACTCCATAGTTATTTGACAATTGAGCGTGATAAAAACTAGTTATATAATATCGTATCGCAGTGCTCATGCTTGGAGGGCAGGACTTAGTGCAGAAGCACAAGAGAAACGTCGTTTCGGTTTCAGCAGTGCCGCACCAGCGTTGCAACCACTGGGATGAGGAGGAGAGGGGCTCCAGGGTGGCCAACCGTACGAGATTTCTCCTACAAATGCGAGATTTCTGGTCTTCCGAACGAGGTACACTACTACACATCTCACCATAGACTGCAAAGAAAATCATTTCTTTACAGTCTATGGTTAGTTGACCCGTTGGCCTATATGTTAATCACCATCAGCTTCATCAGCCTATTAATGTCCCCACTGCTGGGGCACAGGCCTTGCCTATGGATGGAATAGGGAGTTTGGGCCATGACCCCCATTAAAACAAATCGATTGACGTATAAAAAATCGGTCCACGCGTTTGGTCTCTATAAGTAATTTTAGTGTACCACAAAGGAACATGCATACATAGATAGACTGTTAAACACATGTGAGCGCATCGTGATTCGCGTTCTTGAATTGGACAGTCTGTTTAAAAGAAAATCGCCGCTTACTTATCACAACATGGATTTATTAAATAGTTAAATGGCCTATAGACCAGGGCTAATGCCTTTAAAAATCGTAAAGTGTGAAATATACGAAACAGGATAAATGAAACCTATAACACCTAAAGAAGGAGGAAAATAAATTAATGGAGTCGGGGAGAGGTGGGTGACTTTTTAAGGGGGTAATACTGTTTTTCGCGATTTTAGGGAAAACAATTTCTTTTGAAAAGAATTCAATGGAATTTTTTTATTATAGGTAATCAAAAGATCTACAACTTTTGTATTTACACTTTTTAACACATAACCTTTTATTTGCGAAAAATCAAAATAACAGACTTGGTTTTTTATTATTATCTCCAGCAATAACTTTTTTTTATATTTGGTGATAAAATACCTTGTTATGTCATAAACACGTCTTATTTTTTTGATACAATTATTTTTGTCCCTATATTGATATTCCATATATAGAAAATGTAACCTTACTTTCAGTCGAAAAATCTACCGTCAAAAAAGTTTTCGATTATTTTTGTTCCAGAACATAAAGCGTACCAAAAATTTATTTTAAAAACAATTTTTTGGACGGGAGATTTATAAATTGAAAATAAGGTTACTTTTTCGGTAGAATGTCAGTTAAAGGGGGAAAATACATATTTCGAATCCAAAAAAAATTATGGCGTGTTTAGGACATAAGAAGGTAAGTTTTCACCAAATAAAAAAAATGATTATTTTATGGGAGGTAATAACAAAAAATAAAATAGTTGGTTATTTGCATTTATCGCAGACATTTTTAGTGTAGTGCGTAGAACTTTTGATTGCCTTTAATTTTGCCATAGAAATGATTTCGATAAAAGTTGTATTATTCCGGAAAATCGCTATAAACCTCTTCCCCTCTCAAAAAGTCACCTCCCACATAATGCTTGTAATAATAATAATCCATATATTTTTAACACCATTTATTTCAACTATATCGGTATTTATTTACAAACTAATAAAAAACCAACAATATATATTAAGAATTCATTCATCACAGGATATTATACAAGTAGGCTGATAATAACCATCGATGCCCATGGTAAAACGTTGTGATAGGTGTATCTCTTTAATTGTCGTCACACCAAAGTCATAGTGAGCATATCTTTTTAGTATTTCGGAACCATCAAAGGGCATTGTCACTTGCTTTCTGATATCATTCGACGACTTACTCCTATACTTTGAATTTATCAAAGTAACGTGAAGTTTAACGTTGTCACGGTCGTACTCTCTGTGCATATAACCTGTGTAAACAAATATAATATTTATGACAATAATAAAAATATTTCAAAGGTTTTGTCAACAGACTTTATGGAGATTAAGAAAAATTCAATCGGCTTTACCTATAATAATAACCAATGTCGAGAAGATTTTGGTAGATTTATTTTTATAGTGAAAGGACAATGTTAAAATTGGCCTAAGAACCAACACCAATTTGGCATTTATGATAATTCTTAGTATATTTTTTGCGATAATTATCAGTATTTAGATTGTGACGGACACTTCCAGTTAAGTAAGCTAAATTTAAAAGTTAAAAAATAATCTGAGACAATAAATACCATTTTATGTGTATAATCTATGGCAACGCTGCAAACAAAACACTCTTTCTTCCTAATGCCGGCACTTCACTTGGCTATTCGTATTTGCTATTTTAAAACATGACATCAGTCTGTCCTTTTCATTCCTTATTAAGCATGACAAGGACAAACTGCTGTCAAATGAAGGGCCGGCATAAAACTCGTTACTCTGTGGTTGTGGTGCATGCAGTTTGCATTCGTAGTAATCTGTGGCATTCGTACATTCCAAAGAGTAGTTTATTATACCGTAAATGCATTCTCGTTTCGGATTACTATTGTTTTTCCTTAAATTTAACTATTTTGGCTATCTAATATGCCATCGATGTTACCAAAGAGAAGAGCCCCTATAACCAAGTGCTAGTGAACCTGTGCCACAACATCCTGCTAGGATCATACTGCTTAATTATTCAAGAACACAACACCCGATACACATTCACGCTGCATATTTACACAATATACATGTGATATACAAATAAATACAATATTCAAATATGATACAACTATGTGAAAAATAGTCAACAAAAAAGAAGCAAAACTACAGTTTTTATTTTATTCATGATTCCTACCTAACCAAGTTTTTCCTAATAGTTCTTCTTTAAAATCGCACCGAATAAAATGAATTAGTTGTAATATTAATTCACTTCATACTGAGTTTATACTAAATTCATAGGTTGACCTATGTTTCATTGAATATTAAACATAACCTCAAAAAATTTTAAGTTTTCCTAATAATTTAAGTTCTCAGAAGTGTCCGTCAATAATCTTTGTTTTTACAGTCATTTACTTACGATTTTGAACCTAGAAAATAATATTTCATGATTGTTGGTTCTTAGGCTAACTATGTATGGACGCTGAACAATGTCCTTTACTTTTGATGTAGATATAAGAATATAATATACTAGCTGACCCAGCGAACTTCGTACCGCCCTAAAAAAATAGGGGTTGTCCAGCGGACAAAATTGTGAATCTAAACCATTCTCAGATCCCCTTGAACACACACAAAAAATTTCATCAAAATCGGTCCAGTCGTTTAAGAGAAGTTCAGTGACATACACACTCACAGAAGAATTATATATATAAAGATAAAGAATGTGGTCTGTCCGAAACGCAATAGCAAACTGGTCGAATTATCACATACTTAAAAATAATTTCTTTGTCAAGTCAAGTGGAATCCACGATATTTAATTACCCTTGATACAACATCACGAACAAAATCGTGGCCGAAACCTGTCCAAAAGGTACATTGGATAATCCACGGAGCTCCGTAAGACAAATCGCGTAGTCAAAAACAATATTTAAACATCGAAAGTCACATACTGTATAAGGTCTTAATAAAAACGAATGCGTCAGAGAGCTATAACGTTCAAAATGAAAGCAGGTAAAATTTTACGACCTATTGCTATATGCGGAAGAATATAGACCTTATTTCTTTGACTCTACGCGCAATTCTCAATGCGCTGTTAGCAATGTAGCAGGTACGGACTGCGAGGAAAAGAGACAGTTATATTACTGACCATGCATTTGAATATTACAAATATTTTCTATTAAATCAGTTTATAGTAAGTATAATTAGAACAAAATTTGCTTCCAATGCGTTAAATAGTACTATGAGTATTTATTTCACATTTTTTGACGGAGCTCTGCGGCATCTTGACTTTTCAACGGTACGCGCGAGACTCTGAACCAAGATGTGCTTGAGTCGTGTTTAAGCACTTCTTGATTGGGACATATTTTGAGCCCACTAATGAAGAAGCAACATGCAGGCCGGCAGGGTGAGGATGGCTGGTGTGGCAGGTAGAACTGCTGTATCAGCCATCTTTGCATCTGGACTTCACCTTCACTTAACATCAGATGTGGTAAAGTCATTTGTCGGACCTATCTATAAAAAAAAAGAATATAGGATATTTAATATCGTTGAACGGAATACTTTCCCCGGGCACGTGTTCACTCCTTCCTCCAAATCCTCCGGGGTACTTTAAAAAGGCGTGAAGTAGCATTTGGGCAGACCAGCAAGGTGATGACGGTTGATGTTTATGTGGCAATTCATTTGCTGCACCAGCTATCTTCGCATCTGGACTTTACCTCCATTTAACATCAGGTGAGGTTAGTCATTTGCCTACCTTAATATAAAAAAGTATATTTATGCTATCAGATAAGATGTACATTAGTCCCTTTATTTTGTCCCGAAGATACATACGAACATCAATTCATCATAATTATATGTAGTCATATATTTTTTATTTTATTAATTCAGGGCCACGTGCCGCAACAGTGCAGTATTTACCAGCTTTACAGAAGTAATCGGCCAGGCGGTCAGCTAACTGTTGTAGGACACTCACGGGACCGTCCTCTTCTTCTACACGCGCATACAATACTTCTATTGCACTAGGCTCATCATTCATATATGATAGCCCTCTTAATCTAATCTTCATAGAAGCGCAACTTTTAAGAAGAGGCCTGAAAGCGACAATGAAATTATCGTTAGCGAGAGTGACTCAGCAAGATTCTATTAATTTGATATTATTGTAGGCTAGGGCTTAGGGCCACACGGCACAGAGTAACCGATATTGGCTCTTAAAGTAACCGATATTGATATTCCTAAAAATACCTCACCATCCTCTCTAAATCACTACAGGCCCATATCAATATTACCTTTTCTTTCTAAGATTTTAGAGAGTGCTGTACATAACCAACTGTCTTCTTTTATCTTTCGCCATAAGATACTCAGTCCTTTACAATCTGGGTTTCGACCCGGTCACAGTACAACCACTGCTCTCCTTAACGACGACGTTCGGAGCGGCATGGAGAAGTCGCAGTTGACAATAATGGTCTTGATCGATTTTTCTAACGCATTTAATATGGTCAACTACGACATTCTCCTTGCAATCCTTACTCACATGGGAGCCTCTTCTTCGGCGAGGACCTGGTTCTCTTCGTATCTTCGTGGACGCCAGCAGGCTGTTCGAATCGATCAGACTATTTTAAGCTGGGCTGATATCACTGCTGGTGTTCCACAGGGCGGTATTCTTTCTCCTCTTCTTTTTTCACTTTTTATTAATTTCCTCACCACTCTAATTCAATGCTCTTACCATTTGTATGCCGACGATCTCCAACTCTACGTTCAAGCTGATAAGTATAACTTAGACGCTGCTATCATACGCTTAAACCAAGATCTACAAAGAATTTCCGATTGGTCCAAGTGTTATGGTATCTTTGTAAACCCATCGAAATGCCAGGCTTTTATTTTAGGTAGTTCTCGTCAATTAGCTACGCTTGATCTGAGTAGCTTGAATGCGGTAATTTATAATGGTAATGTTATCCAGTATCTACCCAGCGTTAGGAATCTAGGCTTATTTATCGATACTACTCTCAGCTGGGAAGTTCATGTTCAAGAAGTCAGTCGCAAGGTGATTAACACACTTAGAGCACTGTATCGTCTTAAGCACTTTCTCCCTTCCTGTACCAAAGTCGCACTCGTCCAGTCTCTTATTCTCCCTATTCTCGACTACGCCGACATCTGCTATTCTGACATCACTCAAAACCTTCTTATCAAATTGGATCGTTTGCTCAACAGCGGTATTCGCTTCATTTTCGGGTTACGTAAAGACGACCACATTTCTCCCTTTAGAAAACAACTTCAATGGTTGCTAATCAATGGCCGAAGAAACCTTAGATTACTTTGCATGCTCTTCAAGCTTTTATACGATCCATGTGCCCCAGAGTACCTGAAATCTAGATTTCAATTTCTGGGCACTTCCAATCAACGTGATCTTCGCTCGTGCAAAAATCTTACACTACAAATCCCCGTTAATCATTCTGGCTTTGGATCCAAATCGTTCACTATTACTGCCATACGCCTGTGGAATGCTCTACCACTAAGCATACGTAGTACTCACAATAAGTTTGAGTTCAAAAAACTTGTGCGTGAACACTACCTGACTACGTGATTTTTCCCTATAGTTTGCATCGATATATATTATATTTATTGTTTTTTATGTATGTTATGCATATGTATATATGTATATATATTTATATGTGTATGTTTATATATGGTTATATGAGTATTTTATATATGTGAATCACTTTGTATTTAAGTATTATTATTTTATTGCTGTTATTTCGATATTGTTCATTTTATTTAATTTTTAGCAACTTTGTCTCCAACAATCATACTGGTTGACTGGTACAGAATGCCTATGGCATTAAGTCCGCCGTTGGCTTATGTTTGGCAATAAAGTTTAAATAAATAAAAATAAATAAATAAATATTGCTCAAAGCATACTGCATAAGCAAACTACAAACATACTGAAGTATCAGTAGAGCAGTACACGTAGCGACGAGAAGTGATAACTATAGGAATGTCAGCTTCTCGAATGGCGACCGCGCACCAGACGACACTCAGTGGGGTACTTGGGTAGGCTAGACTCCTCAACTCGCCGAGTGGCGCTGGACCTCAGCAGAAGGCATCATGTGGCTGATATGATGATGATGATGACCTATCAAACGAAGGAGAATCCAACCTACTACCTACCGGCAAGTAGTGAGTTTGCAGACGATTTCTTTGTTATCTTTTTATTCATCATCAGCCTATTAATGTCCCCACTGCTGGGGCACAGGCCATCCCTATGGATGGAATAGGGAGATTGGGCCATGACCCACCAGGCGGGTCCAGTGCGTATTGGCGGGTGCTTACGACTGCAGATGGAGCTGGGACCAACGGCTTAATGTGCCTTCCGAAGCACAGAGGAACTCGAGATAGAAGATTTTTGGTCAGCTATCCAATGACCGATCACTACGAAAGTTACTTCACTTCAACGATCGCAGCCGACCGAGTCTGCATAAGCTCTGGATGCTGATGCCCCTGATGCTCCTGTCATCTTCATCGGGGCAGGTCCGCTTGCGGACAATCACCTTTCAGGTGCACGACCAGTCGTAACAAGATACCGCAACACTAAAGTGAGCAAGGAGGAGTCTCACAAACCTTTTTCTCGATCCACCAGTGGTTGAAGGATGCGTAAGGCATTTACCAGACAAAAAAAAAGGCGGCCAGGCGCGTAAAATGGTAGTGATTACTTTATCTATCAGCCGTACCCATAGACATCCATCTATATACAGAGCGTCCCACGGCTACCTCACACGGAGGGAAAGTATATTAAATATTAAAGATAGGATATTTTAGTGAAAGAAGACATTAGGGATATTCGATATACATCGATGCCTCGAAAACATCGATGTTTGCAATGAAAAACATCGAATCGATCCGTGGTTTGAAAAGCTTTCAATATACTCGATGCATCGATGTTTAAAAAAACATCGAATTGGTAATACAGTTTGACCACGTAGTGATAATATCCTCTTTCTGGTTTAACCTTAGTAAAAAAAATCTTAAGTTTGACCACTAAAATTTTACTTACTGTTATGAAAGCATTCCGAATTCTCTGATATGGCTCCGATGTTGGCAGCACTGCGCAAGAGTCAGTGCAGTGACAATAAAAAATAACTACGAGTTTCTATAACATTTAATAACCTTTGGTTTTGTGAAACAAACTAAGATTGAAGTATATTTCTAATATTCTATTGAAAGACAGCAAAAAAATTTTAAATTTAAGAAAAAGTACTCGATGTTGAAATACATCGATGTTTTCATGTTGCGATGTATCGAATCAAAAAATACATCGATGTTTTTTCAGAGTGGACACCCCTAGAAGACATCATTTCATTTTTAATAATAACTAGAACTGCATTCACAGATTTTTTTAAAATAGACTGACATTTCACACTCGCAAACTATTCGAATTCGATAATGTTTCGTGCTAGGGGTACAGACGCTTGAAAATGTATGTGTTCTATTTTCGAATTTTCAGCCAATCGCATTGTAACTGAGTTCAAAAAGAAATGCATACGTACTACAGTTTGTATATCACTTTATTCTTTTTATCACGTAATAAGACATTCCTTTCATTAAAAATGCTGTTAATTAGTAAAAAATAATCTTTATGATAAACCCTTTCGATGGTTAGCATAAAATATGTCGTATTTTTTTTTCGAAATTTCACGAGTTTGATTCCCCGTTTTAGCAGGCGATTTTAAAAAAATCTGTAAAATCAGTTCTAGTTATAATTAAAAATAAAATGATGTCTTCTTCCGGTAAAATATCCTATCTTCAACATTTAATATACTTTCCCTCCGTGTGAGGTACCCGTGGGACGCCCTGTATAACGAAATGTAATTTAAAGTCTCCATATATATAAACAATGAAGATATTCTTACATAACGACTTTCTCTTTGGCTTCCATTAGCAATTTCGATGCAATTAATCTTTCTTCATTATCCATTAAACACATCACTCCTATGGTAAGATGTAACTTAGTTGGATTTTGAAATAAAATCTCTTCTAATCCTTTACTCTGGCAATTCTGGAGTACATTTTCCTTGAAACAAAGTCATAACATTATTTGATAACTTCTAAACAACGAACAAATCAATCAAATTAAAGAAAAAAAATCATTGAATTGTCAATGCATAACTGTATAAAACACTAAGAACGTTTTTTGTCTATTTGTTGACATTTGCATTGATCACGTTTGCATGATGCCGTATCACATTTGCATCGATGCCGTATCACGTTAGCTCCTCTAGTAGCAGTAGTCCGGTTGTCTCGGTTTGTCACATCACCCAGACTATTGAGCCACCTGTTTCAGTAGTTTGGTGTAAGCGGAAGCTGTTGTTGTATTTGATACTACTACTTTCCTATCATACACCCTAGAAATCTACATGGTTTGTGTCTCCATGTCGTGGAGTTGTCCGCTAAATTTCAATTTGAAACGTATAGAATTATGCCAGGATGCTTCAAATAACGTGCCTAATTTTTTTTTTGGTACATCGTCAGTTGGTTATTCATAGTTTTCTAATTGTTCTTTAGTTCGGTCGACCGAAATGATAAAAAAATACGTTTATTCTAAGTAGATCATTGAGGAATGATACGATTATGGTTTGTTTTAACTGTAATGTTCTAATTTTATTTTTTACTTGTAAATAATCATTATTCCAGCAAAAGTAGAAGGATACCATAAAGGGCTAAGAGGTTCTGGTTATGAAATCACATACTGCTGGCTCAATAGTCCGGGTAATGTGTACAACCGAACTATCACAACTAAAAATTTTCAGGAATTCGTTCTACCGGACTAACAACCAAACTTTTGCTACTAGAGGCGTTTGCATGGTGTCGTATTACGTTGGCATCGACGCCGTATCACGTTTGCATCAATGCAGTATCACGTTTTAATGATGCCATTTCACGTTTGCATCAATGCCATATACATATGTTTGCATCATGATGCACATGATTACATCTATGCTGTACAACGTTGATATTTCAGCCCCATGGCACCTAATTAACACACTCTTTACCTTAAAAAGTTCAAAATTCTTTATAATATCTGCATTATTCATAGGCACTGAGATAAAATGTGTTGATTTCTGTTTCATCCTTGATGACATAACAATAATATTAATTCTTCTCTTTGCTGCTTTTACATTCTGGAAAAAGTGAATAATATTTATTTAGTAGATGTTAATATAATACTTTTTTATTTTTTTATTTATTGTATTTTTTTATTTCTTACAGAAGCATTTGATCCAAATATTTTTATATCCCCAGTCTGACCTTGTTTTGGTATTTTTATATCTGTTCTTGTATCAGATTCAATTCTACTTTTGATTGCACCCTTTTTTCCAATAATATAGCCAAAGTATTGACTGAAAACAGAAAATGTACTACACTATATTTAAACTTTCAAGATGAAATGTATTTTAAAAAAAAGTGAAGTGTATTTAAATAAAACTGTAGATCAAAAATTTTTTTTAGCCAAACCTCTAGGCTAAGCTATACATTAACTCTGCTTTGGGCCGAGAGCCTACTGCCTATCAGTATTGCTCTGGCTATAGCTTGACTTCATTTTCTTATTTCTGGCTGCTGAAGATTTTCATATACCTCACAGCCATTTTGTTATATTGTTATCATTACCAATACAAAAGAAAATAGTAAGAGTGCAAGATATTTTGTCGAAATTTAGTTTTAAGTTTAGAGTATCATGCCAGAATCGGCACCAATATCTAGGATATATACCATAAAATTTTGCTGCTGCTTAGATCCAGCCTTAGAGCCACTTCATCTTAAAATATTATATTTAATTTAATTTTCGGTTTAGAGACTCATGCCAGAATGATTCTCTCAAACGAAAATTAAATTTAACAATAATGTGTCCTTGTCATTGTCTATGTATACAGAATGAAAAGAAAAGACTAATGTCAAATGTAGAGTTATACCAGAACCAAACCACTAATACAACTCTCCCAAATACTAGGTCCTTGTACTTGCACAAAGCCCTTCCACAGCATAAGCAGAGTTAAAAACAATAAACAAGCCCTCACCGAACAAATCTAGACAAGAAATTTTGGACACAAACACCAGATATTGGTAAAATCCTGAGGGAGCCATCACTGAAGAAATCTTATCCAACTCACTGTGGAACATGGAAACTCGTACTATATCTAGAACCATCTGAGATTATTTCCAAGTCATCTTCATCATCTTCATCCCCTTCACCGTCATAATTCACTTCTGTAAAACAATAGACCAAGAAGAAAATTAGTACATAAAACAGAGTCCAGAATCTCAATAATTTGGAGAAACAATGCTACGAAAAGTCTAAAACAGTGCAGACCATTTTCATATAAATCATGCTCATGAAAAGCAGTAATCTCCGAATTGGAGTCATTCACTCTGTAACATCTTCCGTCTATCCAAACTAAATCTGGTTTCAATATGTCATTCATTTTTGATATGAAATCACTAGAAGCACAATACACAATCTAAAGCTTATAGAAAACTAGAAAAGCACAGACCAATATGAGATAGAAAAGTAATACGCTGGAAAATCTTTTTTTTTATTATTATTATAATGGCTCGCACGGTTTGTGCATTGGCCACGACAGGGTAAAAGGTAAGGAAACCAAAATAATGAAATAAAAAGGTTGTGAAACGGAATTTGGAAGGATTAGGATCAGGTAAGTACGTAAAATTAATTTGAAACGTAAGTAATAGGTCTTTTTAAGTATATAAAATACATTATATTATTTCTTATAAATTACTTATAATTTTATATTATATTTAGTCAGGAATTCAGATAGCTTGTTAAATATATTATAATTTTTATAATACAATAAGGAAGGAATAGAAGTAGGGAGAGGTACCTTAAGGGATATTAATGAATCCATAAAAGAGGAGGAATTTAAGTCCTCTGCTCCAGTACCACAAGCACAAATACTATCATTTACTATGCCCAGTTTAGCCAGGTGGGAAGAAGAACAGTTATGACCTAGGCGCATTCTTATGAGACTTGATGTGGCAAACTTACTTAAATGAATTTTAGAAAACCATGGTTTATCGGGAATACATTGCTGAATTAATTTATAATGTTTACCTTTGATGCGACTACTAGTATCCCAATTTTCTTCCCAAGATATGCGTAGATGCACTTTAGGAAGTAAAAGAAGATCATTTACTAAATTTTTATAGGGAAAGACGTCACCACAATTCACTGAATCTTTAGCGAGTTTATCAGCTACTTCATTGCCAGTGATGTTATGATGGCCAGGTATCCACGCAAAGAGCACATTTAGATTCTTCAAAGTACAATTCAGTAATAATTTCCTACAATCGATCAAATAAGCATTAGAGGAAGAAGCTTTAAAGGGAAATTTTTCTATTGCCTGTAAAGTGCTTTTGGAATTGGAAAAAATAATTGTGTTTTTGAGTTGTGAAAGCAAAATGTATTCTAATGATTTAAGGATTCCATAACATTCTCCTGTGTATACTGAGGTTTCTGGGGGTAATTTAATTTTTTGTGTTATTTTATACTGTTGGTTGTAAACACCGATTCCAACTATCCCAGTAGATGGATGTTTAGATGCGTCACAGTAAATGTAATGCCAGTCTGGCCATTCTGTATTAACAATACTCATTAGATTAATATTAACATTTTTATCATTACGTAAAGAGTCTAGATAAATTACTTTGGGTGAAATGGTAAGAGCTTCATAATTAATAGAAAAAATAGGAAGATATTGTGATCGGTGGGTGGGTGCTAGCAGTGAAGTAAATTTAATGTAACTGATTACCAAGCAAGGAAGCGACTTGTTATTCCAATATGCCGAATTATTAATTTTACGCAATAAATGGTATAACTTGTTAAAAAGAGGGTGGTCAGAAAGTTGAAGAGCTCTAAATAGAAATTTATCACTTAAAAATTGTCTCCTTAGTTTTAAAGGAGGATCCACACATTCAACCTGGAGTGCATTAATAGGGCTTGACTTCATGGCGCCAGTTACAATGCGAAGAGCTTTAGACTGGATGCCATCTAACTTACTTAGTGCTAATGCACTACAGGGCTCCAGAAAGCAAGTTCCATAATCAAGAATACTTCTGATAATAGCATTATATATTAACTTTTGTGTTGATGGATGAGCACCCCACCAAACACCAGATATGCATCTTAAAATGTTTAATAATTTTTCACATCGAGCTGATACATAATAGCAATGTGATAAACCAGTTAATTTGGAATGTAGAATGATTCCCAGAAATTTAGCTTCATTACACACTGGAATTATGTCATTACCATAATGTACAGAAAATGATGGGGGTGAACGTATTCTTGTAAATAAGACGGCACAACTTTTAGAAACAGAAAGACTTAGTGAGTTATTATCTAACCATGATTTTAAGAGTGTTAACACATTACTTAAAGATTGACTTAATTCAATAATAGATGATCCGGATACATAAAAAACTAAGTCATCTGCATATTGTAAAATGTTAGCTCTGCCTGCGATGTAAGACTCCAAATCATACGTATAGACATTGTACAGTAAAGGGCTCAAAACCGAACCTTGAGGTGGGCCTCTCCATGTCAGCCTAGATTTAAAATTGCCATCTCCCATATCTATTTTTATCAATCTTTCCGAAAGAAGATTAATAATAAAATCGATCAAAAACAAAGGAACTTCTAGTTTTATAAGTTTGTTTTTTAAGATTTGAATGTCCACATTGTCGTAAGCACCAGATATTTCAATAAATGCAGCAAGAAGGGAATGATTATTTGAGAAGGCTAATCTGATATCAGTGGTGAAAATGCCTATGCTATCCATGGTGCTTTTACCTTTTCGAAAGCCATACTGGCTGGAAGCAAGAAGAGCTTTACTTTCTAAGAACCATTCCAATCTGTTCTTAACTAAGTGTTCTACTATTTTAGAAAGAACTGAAGCCAGAGCTATAGGTCTATATGAATTTGGATCTGCAGGAGGTTTATTATGTTTCAATAAGGGAATTAATTCCTGAGTTTTCCATGATATAGGAATTTCGTTATTAACCATAATAGAGTTGATCACTTGTAATAAGTAAATAAGACTGTCGTCACTTAAGTGGGATATGAATGAATAGGGGATTCCATCACTCCCAGGGGCAGAATCTTTTACATAGGACAAAACACATTTTAGTTCAGTTAGGCTAAAAGGAGAGTTGAGGCCGTGGTCATGAGATAAATTGTCAATAGATTTGAATAAAGGTGTATTATCCGGGGAAACAAAAGGGGGAGCTAATTTATCGAGGAATTTATCAGCCACTTCCTCATTTATGAACTTCTGAGCTGGTTCTCTGATCTAAATCTTCGAATATTAGTCCAAATAGCAGATGGGGAAATATCAGGGGCCAAAGAAGAACAAAACACCTTCCAACCATCCCATTTTTTTTTCTTTAGTAGTTTACGAGTTTCATTTATTATTTGCGAAAGTTTGTCAAAATTGTCATTTGTACTGTTATTATAATATTTTTTTTCAGCTACTTTTCTACGCTTTATTGCTGCTGTGCATTCAGAATCCCACCAAGGCGGTAAGGGAATATTTCTATTAGATTGTTTACGCAGAAAGGTCGAATCAGCAGCCTCTATTAGAACCAACGAATCTGCGCACATTGTTTGATCATTAAGCTGAACGTCGGGAAGAGATGATACTTTTTGCGCAACTAGCTCCCTAAACTTCTCCCAGCTGTCACTGTCATTGTTAATTTTATGTTTTAGTCTAGGTGAACGTTTAGGACGCGATTTTAAAACTGTTTTATGGAATGATATTAATATGGGGAAGTGGTCACTGCCGAAAGTGGAGGAAAGCGTGCACCATGAAAAGAAGGAAGCTAAATTGGGGGTGGAGATAGATAAATCCGGGGCGCTTATGCCTTCATTAGGCTGCGTGCGTCTAGTCGGATCGCCAGAGTTTAAAACACAAAAGTTATTTTCATCTACGATATCTAAAATTCTAGCGCCATAATAGCTTGAGTTAGAACTACCCCAAGATCGATGTTGAGCGTTAAAATCACCCATTATCAAAATAGGTTTAGGTAATCGCGATAGAATAGCTGCTACTTCATCATATATAGAGGATGACGGATGAGGGATGTATATTGACACAAAGCATTTATTTTGAACGGATGCAGCTATTATTGAGAAGTCAGTACTATGGTTAGTAATTGGAATATGCTGGAAAGGAACAGTGTCACTTATTAATAAAGCAACACCACCATAGCTATCAGTTCTATCTTCTCTTAAACAAAAATAATTAGAAATATTAAAGTTAGTGTTGGGTTGGAGCCATGTTTCTTGTAGTGCCATAATAATTGGTTTGTATTGATGAGGTTAATATATGTTTTGTCTATTATTGTTATAATAAAGTAGTGGCTGGTAAGTGTCAAATAAATATGACATATTAAGTTTGTCTTGATTGAGTTAATTGGTTTAAGGAATTTGAATAAATATGGTGTATTAAAGTAAATGATGTTATTATACACAGTTTAAACAAATATGGTAATTTCCACATAATATTAGTGTTCTAATAGGTTATGGGCCGCCCCATATTCTGTATTCTGTGAATATCGGGTTAAATAAAACTAAATAGAAAATAACAGTGAAAATGGCTTCCGGGAAAACACATGACGTGATACCTCGGTTGGAAAATGGAAATAATTTTTCTAACTGAAAATTTAGATTAGAGCTGTTAATGGAAGAAAAAGGTCTGGGTGATATAATTAAAACTACCAGTTTAAAAGAAGAACACAAGTTGAGAGATGCAAAAGCAAAATCCCTAATTGTAGAGTGTGTAGAGGATAATTTACTGGAAATTGTGAAAGGCTGCCAAAGTTCGAAAGAAATGTTGGATTCTTTAGAAAGCATTTTCAATAGGAAAAGCATAATGAACAAATATAATTTAAAGAAAAAATTGATAGAGTTGAAATGTGACAGCGTCGAAAAACTTGAAAGTTTCTTCTTGAAATATGACAAGCTTGTTAGTGACAACGAAATGATCTCAAAAATGGAAGAGTCGGATAAAGTTGTACATCTTTTGCTTGCATTGCCAGATAAGTACAGTAACGTTACAGCAGCTTTAGAAGCTATGAACGATGAATTGACTTTGAGCAAAACAAAATCAACATTACTTGATGCGGAAATACGATTGCAAGACAGAGTATATGTAAATCAAGATAATGCGTTTAATATTGAATGCTGGAATTGTAATGAAAAAGGACATAAGGCAATATATTGTCGAAAATTTGGTCAAAATAGATACTATCAAAATAAATCTATAAGAGGCCGAGGCGGTGAATTTAATAGACGTGGACGTGGGAGAATACAGATTCGAAGCAGAGGTGACACTAGTACAGCGACAACTTCGAGGGATAATGCAGTCGTAGGCGATTACGAACCAAACGATGAAATGGGATGTATGGTAGATGGAGAATTCAGCTTAACTTGTAAGACATCTAACAGATTAATTTCCTTTGTAGTAGATTCAGGTGCATCACAA